CCCACGAAGGAGGCAAGGACATGGTAGGAGAGGGAGCTCTCAGGTCCTTGCTGTCATGGACATACCTTTCCATCCTCGACTGGCGTTTGGCAAACAGTTCGGCTCCTTTTCCTGAAGCATTGGTCAGGGCTTGCTCAGGCTTGTGCTCTATCCTGGCACGTGTCCTGGAGCTTTTCAAACTCGAGGCCCACTCTGGCACCGCAGCTTCCTCGTGAATATCCTTGTCCTTGGCCAGGAAGTTTGAGGCTTCAGCCCCGAGATCCAGCAGCTCCTCTTCCTGCCCTGCATATGGCTGGGGTTTTTTCTTCTTTCCATCTGCACACTGCACCAAGGACAGGAGTTCGGGATTCGGAGCCACTTTTGGCTTCTCCTGAAATGTGAACATCGACTTGCGGGTCACTCTGCGAGCCCGGCCCTCGTCAAGGATGCCCGATCTGATGGGAGTTACAGATCTCTTCTCACTCATAAGGTTAGGGACATATGTAGGCCTGGGGACATATGGGCGGATGTAAGAAGAAGGCTGAGGTGAAGGAGCATGGGCTGTGTTAGGTGGAGGAGGGCTGGAGTAGCTGGGGAGAGGAGGCGTTGGATATGAAGGAGGAGGTGGTGGAGAGAAAACAGGTCTTGGGTGCACTGGGTAAGTTGAAGGTTCAAAGTGTGTTGTAGAGTCATCAGATGGGGCTGGAGGGATGTCCATGACTGGACTTGTAGCTTCAGAGGATCCTACTGTTGTCGGGGAGAAAAATGGGCGAGCTGTTCTGTTCATGATGGTGGGCTGTTTAGTCACTGTCTTATCTGCTTTTCCATTGCATTGTGCACTGTATCCATTTGGGATTTCTTTATTGTGTGCTCCATTGTCTTCAGCTTCATCTTGACCAGTTCTGTCCATAACAGCAGGGGTATTATCACTTCTAAGAGTAACCTCTTCCTTCACATGCTCCGTGACGTCTTCTGAGAGCTCCTCATCCTTCTCGTTGACAGGGAGAAAGTGTCTGTCTTGGCCGCTTTCTTCTGCTACATCCTCCTGTGTAACCTCACTAGCATCTTCCATGTCACTCCCAGTACTGCTGATTCTGTCGGCCATCCACGAGAGGTTCTTACGATTCAACTCCTTGTCCTGGTCCTCAGTCAAGTGATGTTTGTTCCATGTCCGTGGACTTTCAAAAGATGAATCAATTACATTCTTGGATGCCTCCACTCCCCCTCCTCCGACGCTTACAAGTGTGAAAGCGTTCACTCTCTGTCTGCGCCGGTTGAAAAGTTGGACGCCTTTAGAGTTGGAACTGGCCTGGAGCTGAGCAGCAATGATCTGACTCTTGGTCCGTGCCTCCTTCAGCTCCTTCTCCGACAAACTGGCACTTCTGCTGAGGTCTGTAATGGTAGAAAAATCCACCAATCAACTTCAACTTTTTTTACAAAAAAATGTAAATTATATAACACATTCACAGCTATGCCATTTGCAGTGCTTTTCAGTTCACAAAGCAAAGTATTGCTCGACCCAGGTTATAATTGTAGAATTTAGCACAGCCCACCAATTATTCACAATATTTCAAATGCACTTAATTGTTTCAGCCTAACAAACAAAGGGTGCTGTATATAATATCACATGCCTTTTTTATTAGACAGAATAATTGGACAGGTTTTGGCAAATAATAGCCTGCTTTGTATTTTATTTCATGATCTCACCATTGCTGTCTCAATCATTCGGTTGCTTTTTAAGTCTCAGTTATAGTAGCAATGTGCTCAAATGGGAGTATAATTATTTTAAAAGTCAAGAGTATTATATGTCTTTCAAGTAATTCTAGCTTTCATGAGTCACCCTGTTAAAAAGATGAATCATATTAGTTTGTCGTCTTTTTTGCGCACAGACTTATAAAAGAAATGCTGTCAAATAAAGTTCAAGGATTTGTGGTCAAAATTATTCTTTTCACAGTTTGCTGTGATTCACAGAGCCTGCGGGCAAACTTTTGTAGACCGTACAATGCTTTCACACATTTATAGTTCTAAAAACCTCCTGTAAATAAATCTTAATGCTGATATTTGCAGTTCTACCCATAGTTTGGCAAAGATGGATGTTAAAACAGTCATGTATTTGTTGAAAATGGCAAAGGTTTATTGACTGGGCAAAAAAGCCCCATTCCGAGCTGCAGAAAGTATTTCCTTCACCATGGGCTCTAGTCCCTCCCTTAGCATTCCTCAACTGCCGAGAAAATGCCCTGCTTGAGACTGCAGCATGCCTTGAGAAATCTCTCTGAGGCACAGGAGCCATTGGTTTATATGCCGACAGGTTCATGCCTTTCCATCATCACTTACGAGACAAAGTCTACATTTAAATGCTTAAACTTTGACCTACAGTGACATACTGTGGCATCAAAGTTTCAGTAAATAAAACAAGCGTGTTTGAAAATCCTGCCTACAAAAGAATGAATGCCTCAGGAAAATTCTTATACCAGAACATTACATCCTGAGGAACAGACTGCTTACAATTACATCACTGGCTGAACGGCTTGACTCTCTTAATATAAGTGTGGTTAACCTGTGCAACATAAACACAATCTGTTTCCTTAATAGACCTTTGAATAATTAACCACTCCAGGTTTCCCTGAGGTAGTTCTTTGCTTTTATCCTCAACCTCAGACTTGGCAGCAAACCTGAAAACAATTTGCTGAGTGTTTTTTCTCTATCCAAGCAGGTAGGTCTTTGTCTTGCCAGAGCCACAATGGGAGTTAAAAAAAGTAGTAAAAAAGCAAGAGTTCTAAATCTATCCCGTTCGTTTTATGTGCAAGTTTGCCAGACTCAAAGGAGTTTTTATGTCACATGGCATAAAATTATAATAGAGCATGAATAATGTGCATCTGCCTTTCATTCCACCAGCAAAAATGCCTCTTTATTTAGTCAGGCCATGCAACACAACCTCTAGCACTGTGATAAAAAGCTTTCCATTTTCCTTCTTAACAGACATTCATCTTTACGGTGCTTAAATAGATTTCCTTTGATAAACCTGGAGCAAAATCTGATAATTATAAAAGCATACATGCAGCTTTTCTCTTAATTTTTCTTTCTTTTCTTTTAATTTAATGTGCATGTTTTCCCACCAACCAAAGTAGTTTCAAGTACTTTCAAAACTTTGCAGTTTTAATTTCTTCCTTATTCTTATAAACGTCCCTGTCATGTCAGAGCCAGACCTAAATACAAGTTCATTTAATACAGTTATGACTTTACTCACTGACTGCTTTCTACTTTTAAAATAAATTAATACACTACAAAATGTGGTAATGTGCAATTTTTTTTCTAGAATGAAACCACTTAATTTAGATGTTACCACATGAAGCACATTTTAGATTATAATTTTTTTTTTTACAGTTTAAACAAAAAAATTACTTTAAAAACATTATGTCTGAAATCCACAAAGAGCCATTTGTCACTTTAACTTCAAAACAAAGTTGTTCTATTCATTCAAAAAAGCCTATTGTCTGTTTATGCAAAAGCTTTCCATTTTCCTTCTTAACAGACATTCATCTTTACGGTGTTTAAATAGATTTCCTTTGATAAACCTGGAGCAAAATCTGATAATTATAAAAACATACATGCAGCTTTTCTCTTAATTTTTCTTTCTTTTCTTTTAATTTAATGTGCATGTTTTCCCACCAACCAAAGTAGTTTCAAGTACTTTCAAAACTTTGCAGTTTTAATTTCTTCCTTATTCTTATAAACGTCCCTGTCATGTCAGAGCCAGACCTAAATACAAGTTCATTTAATACAGTTATGACTTTACTCACTGACTGCTTTCTACTTTTAAAATAAATGAATACACTACAAAATGTGGTAAATACAAAAAAAAATTTACAGTTTAAACAAAAAAATTACTTTAAAAACATTATGTCTGAAATCCACAAAGAGCCATTTGTCACTTTAACTTCAAAACAAAGTTGTTCTATTCATTCAAAAAAGCCTATTGTCGGTTTATGTCTAAAGACAACCCAAAGTGGCAACCAGTCTGTATTGTCTTTTAAAGCAGCATGCATTCACTGTCAAATATTGCTCTCTTCTCGCTTTAAAGAAGATGCATCACATTATATAATTTAAACGATCTATGTCATCAAACCTCAGAACTTAAACATGACTTCAGCACATGCCTTTCACAAATCTAGGCTTTTTTTTTTTTTAAGTTTCAGAAGCACCGTGTCAAACTAAACTTCTCTTACCTTAATTAACTCAGCATACAGTCTCTTTTGTTGCTGCTTCTCGAGCTTTTCTAATTTAACTTCATGTGTTTCCTCCACTCCCCCCTTTAGCAGCGCGAGCCTGGATCGGATTTCGTGTCGTTGCGAATGATGATCTCTCGCGCGCTCCAAATGCGCATCGAGTATGAGGCGGGCAGGCTGGGGCACTGGACGAGGTTTGCGCTTCTTTTTGCTTTTTTTTAAAGGATGGCTATGCTGTGCAATGTTCCTGGCAGACGTTTGGTACACTCCAAATTCAACAGCGAAGAACCAGGATACAGAATAGATCTGGAGAGCGGGGCTGCAGCTGTCACGCGGGAAGGTTGTCACAAGGGATAGTCAGAAATCAGAAACTATGAGGTTTTGAGCCAGAAGTCCAATTAGACAAATGTTTTCTCTATCAGTGGTTTTATAGGTTGTTTTTAAAGCTGTAGTTCAACCCTCTTAAGTATATATTATTTTATATATCACCCTCATGTTCCAAACCTCTATGACCCTGAAACCCATTTCTTTCTGATGTGGAACACTAAAGTAGAAGCAGAACGATGGCCTCAGTCACCATTCACTTTCATTTCATTTGGAAAAAATATGCAATGAAAGAGAATGGTGACTGAGGCTGTCAGTTCCTGACTTTCAGCCAAACATCTCTATTTGTGTTCTACAGAAGAAAATCATGTGGGTTTCAAACTACATGAGCGTGAGCAAATAATGAAAACATTTTCATTTTTCAATGAACTATCCTTTTGCGTAACCACTATCAGATCCCTGCAGTAGCACATACAGGAGTTTTTGCACTCTACATTAAGTACATACTGTTGTGTGCAGTATGCAAGTTTTAAACTGGAACTATAAATCAAAGAAAAGCACACAGAACTAATTAAGATAAAGAATTAGTACATGTGTCATAATAGAAAGAGGCTCTCATATCATCCTACTCATATTAAATTGTATTCGTACGTCATAAAATGCAAAACACCATCTGCTAAACTTCTTATGAGCTTATACCAACTCCAACCTGAAAACTTGGAGGCAAGCGTTGGAAAATGACACACTGGTTTTGTACCAAAAATATATCTGGCATCAGCACAAAAATGAATAAACTGTAGTTCTGAAACTCAAAGCTGTATTAAATTACAATGTCTTAATTAAAAAATAAATAAGGGTTCAATTGATGGCCCTCTGGTGGCCAGTTTATGAATTACAATTTAAATCAGTTTTACAGGCAATTGTAGGACCTGACATTTATTGCTTCCACTTGCAAAACTCAAAAAAACAAAAACAATAAACAAACAGGCCTGACCAAGCATGCTAGATTTCATGTTTCCTGTAGCTACTTTTTAGAACCTTACTGCTCTCTTGCTACTTCTAAGTGGACAGTCAGTCTGATATGTGTCCCTTTTACTTTACTTCCATTATACTTTGGTCTGAAGAGTACATAAAGCAAAGAAGAGCAGAAATTAAAAGGTTTAAAAGAACGAAGAGGGTTTCCACACCTGTGGGCTGATACCAGCTTTTTTGGTGGAGAACGTGGGACGTGGAGCTTGGACGCCAGAGCGAGGTGAAGCCACACGATCTGGAGCTAAAGGTGACACTGGGGAACTGACACTGCCTGCTTTGATGGGACTGAGAGGTGTCATAGGAGGCGAAAAGCAATGGGCTGACCGATAGGCGGCAGATGGGCTGTAGGGTGATGGCAATGGGCTTGTTGGAAGGGATGACTGTCTGGAGTAGGAGTGAGCTGTCACGACAGATTTAGGAGCTGGGGCGGCTCTGGGAAGAGTGCTGTAGGGATCTTTCATTGGGTTGAAGATAAAGAGGGATGAGTTGAGCTGGTATGGCTGATGTTTGGACAGCTCCATGTCGATTTTAGTGCAGCCATTCTCCAAGGGTATTTCTGGAGGTGGAGCCGGAACAGGTGCTGGTGTTTTGGCAGGGACAGTCTTTTTCTGAGTTGCCTGCTGAGCTTGAAGTGTTTTTGAAATTTGTGTACTTATATTGGAGGAGTTTACTATGGCCTTTACTCGACCGGGCATGTTGGATGGATACACCCACGAAGGAGGCAAGGACATGGTAGGAGAGGGAGCTCTCAGGTCCTTGCTGTCATGGACATACCTTTCCATCCTCGACTGGCGCTTGGCAAACAGTTCGGCTCCTTTTCCTGAAGCATTGGTCAGGGCTTGCTCAGGCTTGTGCTCTATCCTGGCACGTGTCCTGGAGCTTTTCAAACTCGAGGCCCACTCTGGCACCGCAGCTTCCTCGTGAATATCCTTGTCCTTGGCCAGGAAGTTTGAGGCTTCAGCCCCGAGATCCAGCAGCTCCTCTTCCTGCCCTGCATATGGCTGGGGTTTTTTCTTCTTTCCATCTGCACACTGCACCAAGGACAGGAGTTCGGGATTCGGAGCCACTTTTGGCTTCTCCTGAAATGTGAACATCGACTTGCGGGTCACTCTGCGAGCCCGGCCCTCGTCAAGGATGCCCGATCTGATGGGAGTTACAGATCTCTTCTCACTCATAAGGTTAGGGACAAATGTAGGCCTGGGGACATATGGGCGGATGTAAGAAGAAGGCTGAGGTGAGGGAGCATGGGCTGTGTTAGGTGGAGGAGGGCTGGAGTAGCTGGGGAGAGGAGGCGTTGGATATGAAGGAGGAGGTGGTGGAGAGAAAACAGGTCTTGGGTGCACTGGGTAAGTTGAAGGTTCAAAGTGTGTTGTAGAGTCATCAGATGGGGCTGGAGGGATGTCCATGACTGGACTTGTAGCTTCAGAGGATCCTACTGTTGTCGGGGAGAAAAATGGGCGAGCTGTTCTGTTCATGATGGTGGGCTGTTTAGTCACTGTCTTATCTGCTTTTCCATTGCATTGTGCACTGTATCCATTTGGGATTTCTTTATTGTGTGCTCCATTGTCTTCAGCTTCATCTTGACCAGTTCTGTCCATAACAGCAGGGGTATTATCACTTCTAAGAGTAACCTCTTCCTTCACATGCTCCGTGACGTCTTCTGAGAGCTCCTCATCCTTCTCGTTGACAGGGAGAAAGTGTCTGTCTTGGCCGCTTTCTTCTGCTACATCCTCCTGTGTAACCTCACTAGCATCTTCCATGTCACTCCCAGTACTGCTGATTCTGTCGGCCATCCACGAGAGGTTCTTACGATTCAACTCCTTGTCCTGGTCCTCAGTCAAGTGATGTTTGTTCCATGTCCGTGGACTTTCAAAAGATGAATCAATTACATTCTTGGATGCCTCCACTCCCCCTCCTCCGACGCTTACAAGTGTGAAAGCGTTCACTCTCTGTCTGCGCCGGTTGAAAAGTTGGACGCCTTTAGAGTTGGAACTGGCCTGGAGCTGAGCAGCAATGATCTGACTCTTGGTCCGTGCCTCCTTCAGCTCCTTCTCCGACAAACTGGCACTTCTGCTGAGGTCTGTAATGGTAGAAAAATCCACCAATCAACTTCAACTTTTTTTACAAAAAAATGTAAATTATATAACACATTCACAGCTATGCCATTTGCAGTGCTTTTCAGTTCACAAAGCAAAGTATTGCTCGACCCAGGTTATAATTGTAGAATTTAGCACAGCCCACCAATTATTCACAATATTTCAAATGCACTTAATTGTTTCAGCCTAACAAACAAAGGGTGCTGTATATAATATCACATGCCTTTTTTATTAGACAGAATAATTGGACAGGTTTTGGCAAATATTAGCCTGCTTTGTATTTTATTTCATGATCTCACCATTGCTGTCTCAATCATTCGGTTGCTTTTTAAGTCTCAGTTATAGTAGCAATGTGCTCAAATGGGAGTATAATTATTTTAAAAGTCAAGAGTATTATATGTCTTTCAAGTAATTCTAGCTTTCATGAGTCACCCTGTTAAAAAGATGAATCATATTAGTTTGTCGTCTTTTTTGCGCACAGACTTATAAAAGAAATGCTGTCAAATAAAGTTCAAGGATTTGTGGTCAAAATTATTCTTTTCACAGTTTGCTGTGATTCACAGAGCCTGTGGGCAAACTTTTGTAGACCGTACAATGCTTTCACACATTTATAGTTCTAAAAACCTCCTGTAAATAAATCTTAATGCTGATATTTGCAGTTCTACCCATAGTTTGGCAAAGATGGATGTTAAAACAGTCATGTATTTGTTGAAAATGGCAAAGGTTTATTGACTGGGCAAAAAAGCCCCATTCCGAGCTGCAGAAAGTATTTCCTTCACCATGGGCTCTAGTCCCTCCCTTAGCATTCCTCAACTGCCGAGAAAATGCCCTGCTTGAGACTGCAGCATGCCTTGAGAAATCTCTCTGAGGCACAGGAGCCATTGGTTTATATGCCGACAGGTTCATGCCTTTCCATCATCACTTACGAGACAAAGTCTACATTTAAATGCTTAAACTTTGACCTACAGTGACATACTGTGGCATCAAAGTTTCAGTAAATAAAACAAGCGTGTTTGAAAATCCTGCCTACAAAAGAATGAATGCCTCAGGAAAATTCTTATACCAGAACATTACATCCTGAGGAACAGACTGCTTACAATTACATCACTGGCTGAACGGCTTGACTCTCTTAATATAAGTGTGGTTAACCTGTGCAACATAAACACAATCTGTTTCCTTAATAGACCTTTGAATAATTAACCACTCCAGGTTTCCCTGAGGTAGTTCTTTGCTTTTATCCTCAACCTCAGACTTGGCAGCAAACCTGAAAACAATTTGCTGAGTGTTTTTTCTCTATCCAAGCAGGTAGGTCTTTGTCTTGCCAGAGCCACAATGGGAGTTAAAAAAAGTAGTAAAAAAGCAAGAGTTCTAAATCTATCCCGTTCGTTTTATGTGCAAGTTTGCCAGACTCAAAGGAGTTTTTATGTCACATGGCATAAAATTATAATAGAGCATGAATAATGTGCATCTGCCTTTCATTCCACCAGCAAAAATGCCTCTTTATTTAGTCAGGCCATGCAACACAACCTCTAGCACTGTGATAAAAAGCTTTCCATTTTCCTTCTTAACAGACATTCATCTTTACGGTGTTTAAATAGATTTCCTTTGATAAACCTGGAGCAAAATCTGATAATTATAAAAACATACATGCAGCTTTTCTCTTAATTTTTCTTTCTTTTCTTTTAATTTAATGTGCATGTTTTCCCACCAACCAAAGTAGTTTCAAGTACTTTCAAAACTTTGCAGTTTTAATTTCTTCCTTATTCTTATAAACGTCCCTGTCATGTCAGAGCCAGACCTAAATACAAGTTCATTTAATACAGTTATGACTTTACTCACTGACTGCTTTCTACTTTTAAAATAAATTAATACACTACAAAATGTGGTAATGTGCAATTTTTTTTCTAGAATGAAACCACTTAATTTAGATGTTACCACATGAAGCACATTTTAGATTATAATTTTTTTTTTTACAGTTTAAACAAAAAAATTACTTTAAAAACATTATGTCTGAAATCCACAAAGAGCCATTTGTCACTTTAACTTCAAAACAAAGTTGTTCTATTCATTCAAAAAAGCCTATTGTCTGTTTATGCCTAAAGACAACCCAAAGTGGCAACCAGTCTGTATTGTCTTTTAAAGCAGCATGCATTCACTGTCAAATATTGCTCTCTTCTCGCTTTAAAGAAGATGCATCACATTATATAATTTAAACGATCTATGTCATCAAACCTCAGAACTTAAACATGACTTCAGCACATGCCTTTCACAAATCTAGGCTTTTTTTTTTTTTAAGTTTCAGAAGCACCGTGTCAAACTAAACTTCTCTTACCTTAATTAACTCAGCATACAGTCTCTTTTGTTGCTGCTTCTCGAGCTTTTCTAATTTAACTTCATGTGTTTCCTCCACTCCCCCCTTTAGCAGCGCGAGCCTGGATCGGATTTCGTGTCGTTGCGAATGATGATCTCTCGCGCGCTCCAAATGCGCATCGAGTATGAGGCGGGCAGGCTGGGGCACTGGACGAGGTTTGCGCTTCTTTTTGCTTTTTTTTAAAGGATGGCTATGCTGTGCAATGTTCCTGGCAGACGTTTGGTACACTCCAAATTCAACAGCGAAGAACCAGGATACAGAATAGATCTGGAGAGCGGGGCTGCAGCTGTCACGCGGGAAGGTTGTCACAAGGGATAGTCAGAAATCAGAAACTATGAGGTTTTGAGCCAGAAGTCCAATTAGACAAATGTTTTCTCTATCAGTGGTTTTATAGGTTGTTTCTAAAGCTGTAGTTCAACCCTCTTAAGTATATATGATTTTATATATCACCCTCATGTTCCAAACCTCTATGACCCTGAAACCCATTTCTTTCTGATGTGGAACACTAAAGTAGAAGCAGAAGGATGGCCTCGGTCACCATTCACTTTCATTTCATTTGGAAAAAATATGCAATGAAAGAGAATGGTGACTGAGGCTGTCAGTTCCTGACTTTCAGCCAAACATCTCTATTTGTGTTCTACAGAAGAAAATCATGTGGGTTTCAAACTACATGAGCGTGAGCAAATAATGAAAACATTTTCATTTTTCAATGAACTATCCTTTTGCGTAACCACTGTTTTCATTACCAGAGATGATGGATGTAGGAACGATTCAAATTTATGACATCTACGGCCTTGGATGTACTTAAATAATCACGTACAGATTCTGTAAGTTCGCACATTCTGTTTCACGCCAAATTAAGTGGCCACATTTCATCAGTGTCATGTATAGAATCAGTGTGTCAGCTCTTTCAGAGGATTGGGTGTCAGGGGAGAGAGTCGTCCGGCAAATACGCTCGCTTGGTTGGATGGACACCTGAGCCTCAAGGGTGAAGTTCAGTTTAGGCCGCAGAGGTTTGCTTGCTTAGCTGATCCATCCTACCTGAATCATAACACTCACGCTTAACTTCTCATTAACATGAAGGGAAAGACAGGATCTTCCTCAAACCAAGAAGTAGTGGTAGGAAGGAATTCAGGGACATAATGTTCCCATGTCCTTGGCATCGAGCTGTGTATGATATGTGGGCTCTCAGTTTGGACAGATGAGGGAAACTCCCTCACAGCTTGAGGATTTGGGGACCTGGCAGGCCTAGGGTTGTATATCAAAGGTCAGATTCTCCTGTCGGATGTTATGGTTCACTGGGAAGATGGGATAAAGTGACAGTTTTCCTCTGGGAAATGTGGAAGTGATGAGATCAGAGAGGTTTGAGAACTTTCAAACCATGAATGTGCAATTACACATCACTGTCCACGAAACCTGTACTAGGAGACCCTTCTTACTCTGCTACCTCATTCTCAAGTAGGACAACATTCACAGAATAGCATATACAGTTCAGTTCTGATGCTGAGAAATGCCTTGTAATTGACCTGCTATATCATTATAAAACCTACAGCTGTGGCCATAAGTTACTGTAAATTTGCAGAAGCTGCTAGATGAAAAATGATGTGATGGAAAAGATTCATGTGTTTCCTCCACTCCCCCCTTTAGCAGCGCGAGCCTGGATCGGATTTCGTGTCGTTGCGAATGATGATCTCTCGCGCGCTCCAAATGCGCATCGAGTATGAGGCGGGCAGGCTGGGGCACTGGACGAGGTTTGCGCTTCTTTTTGCTTTTTTTTAAAGGATGGCTATGCTGTGCAATGTTCCTGGCAGACGTTTGGTACACTCCAAATTCAACAGCGAAGAACCAGGATACAGAATAGATCTGGAGAGCGGGGCTGCAGCTGTCACGCGGGAAGGTTGTCACAAGGGATAGTCAGAAATCAGAAACTATGAGGTTTTGAGCCAGAAGTCCAATTAGACAAATGTTTTCTCTATCAGTGGTTTTATAGGTTGTTTCTAAAGCTGTAGTTCAACCCTCTTAAGTATATATGATTTTATATATCACCCTCATGTTCCAAACCTCTATGACCCTGAAACCCATTTCTTTCTGATGTGGAACACTAAAGTAGAAGCAGAAGGATGGCCTCGGTCACCATTCACTTTCATTTCATTTGGAAAAAATATGCAATGAAAGAGAATGGTGACTGAGGCTGTCAGTTCCTGACTTTCAGCCAAACATCTCTATTTGTGTTCTACAGAAGAAAATCATGTGGGTTTCAAACTACATGAGCGTGAGCAAATAATGAAAACATTTTCATTTTTCAATGAACTATCCTTTTGCGTAACCACTGTTTTCATTACCAGAGATGATGGATGTAGGAACGATTCAAATTTATGACATCTACGGCCTTGGATGTACTTAAATAATCACGTACAGATTCTGTAAGTTCGCACATTCTGTTTCACGCCAAATTAAGTGGCCACATTTCATCAGTGTCATGTATAGAATCAGTGTGTCAGCTCTTTCAGAGGATTGGGTGTCAGGGGAGAGAGTCGTCCGGCAAATACGCTCGCTTGGTTGGATGGACACCTGAGCCTCAAGGGTGAAGTTCAGTTTAGGCCGCAGAGGTTTGCTTGCTTAGCTGATCCATCCTACCTGAATCATAACACTCACGCTTAACTTCTCATTAACATGAAGGGAAAGACAGGATCTTCCTCAAACCAAGAAGTAGTGGTAGGAAGGAATTCAGGGACATAATGTTCCCATGTCCTTGGCATCGAGCTGTGTATGATATGTGGGCTCTCAGTTTGGACAGATGAGGGAAACTCCCTCACAGCTTGAGGATTTGGGGACCTGGCAGGCCTAGGGTTGTATATCAAAGGTCAGATTCTCCTGTCGGATGTTATGGTTCACTGGGAAGATGGGATAAAGTGACAGTTTTCCTCTGGGAAATGTGGAAGTGATGAGATCAGAGAGGTTTGAGAACTTTCAAACCATGAATGTGCAATTACACATCACTGTCCACGAAACCTGTACTAGGAGACCCTTCTTACTCTGCTACCTCATTCTCAAGTAGGACAACATTCACAGAATAGCATATACAGTTCAGTTCTGATGCTGAGAAATGCCTTGTAATTGACCTGCTATATCATTATAAAACCTACAGCTGTGGCCATAAGTTACTGTAAATTTGCAGAAGCTGCTAGATGAAAAATGATGTGATGGAAAAGATAACAGTTTAAAAGACTCCAAATGAGTCCGTTTACAGAAAAGGTGTGGGGTAAATAAGTTCTTTTTTCTGTACTGTATCTGGCTTTAGACAGGCTGTTTAATACTTCCTCACTGAATTGTATTACTGTGTCTCCCTTTGTGTAGGATCCCATCCAACATTGTTGTTCTTTATATATTGTTGTTTTTGCTGTTTTGGTTTGTTCAAACTTTTATGTACATTGTGAGAACTCTTTACATACTTTGTAAAAAAAAGAAAAAAAGTTGGTTTAAAAAATAAGTGAATGAATAAGAGGCATAATTAAAGGGATATAAGGAATGACTTTTTTAATTATTAACATTTTGCATATTCTGCAAAAGGTATCTAAACATATGACCTGCAGCTCTAAATCATAAGTTAGGAACATGGAAATTAATGCATTTGTCATATACAGTGGCAATAAGAGTCTAAGAGATTTGCTACAAATTATATTATTAGCAAAACAATTCCAAGCGAACTACCATTACATCAATTTCAGAAAGTCTTAGTACTTTTTGAATGTCTGAGCCCTCTTTTGTTTCAATGACAGCAGCACTAAAACTGGATGAACTACACAAGTATGTGTAAAAGCTGATGATCATGATCTCCGATGCTGACTGTTTGTACAAAAGAGTTTAGGTTCAACCTCAAAAAATTGCCAAATTTGATTAATGACCTAAAAAACGGCGTAGAATTAAAATTTCTTACTACTGTTTATTGTTATTCTTATTAAACTAATTTTAAAACATTCGAAAAAAAACTGCTCTCAGACTTTTAGACCACACTGTATCATTTTCCAATTTCATGCTATCAGCATCTGGAAATGCAAGAAAGAAAAGCATAACATTCTGCATCTCATCAAATCATGCTGCTGTGTGGAGACATCAATCCCATACAAGGAGAGAGAGAACGAAAGAAAAAGAGAGAAAATGCTGACATTTACTTCAGCGCCTCTTCCTAGGAACGGTATGAAACCAATATAAAGCGACTGAATTAGCTGTTCCATCTCAGCCTTTCCACATCCTCCTCTCTCGCCATTTTACACACTCCAAAGCTGTTACAACACCACAGCAACCTCTTAAATTCTGCAAAAACAGTTTTGGACCATCTGAAATGGGTCTGAATTCTCATCAGCAGGGCTGTAAAACCCCTCTGTCGCACAGTCACTGGTGTGAACTGCCGCTTACTGCACTTGCAATGGGTGCCTGGTCATCTGCAAACCTTATTATGCATTTTTTCCAGATAACATTACCCACAGCTTGAGCATTATGGTCAGTGGGTATATGAACTGAAGAGCTATTACTGTACGGCTCATCTGTGTCTGTGAGGAAACAAATGTGTCACTGAGGGTTTAGTAAGAACTGATGTCTAAACAGTTAGGGGATAGCAGCTACATCAGTCTATCAATCGGATGGTTCTTATGTCTCTCTGTCTGTAAAAGCATTCAACTTTTAAAGAATAAATTTGTCTTGACTCATGTTTCTATTTAAATGGATTACATGACACTATTGAACACTTAACTCTGATTGGTTAATCACAACATTCTGCAGTATTTGCAGTAATTAGGTACTGTATAATGACACTAAACTGTATAGCACTTACCTATTATATTCTATTCTATTCTATTCCATTCTATTTAAAAAAAAACCTAGCTATGTGTACGGTGCTAGACTAACTGAGACTTGTCACAGCACTTACTGTTGCTCTCTCGTTCGTCTGATTGCTTCTATTGTTCTCCTCATTTGTAAGTCGCTTTGGATAAAATCGTCTGCTAAATGATTAAATGTAAATGTAAATAATTAACCATTGTCCCAATTTGCAACCATTGCAACCAATTTCCTACATAGTTTTGCTAGTTTCATGTCTGTCATCGCACCTTATCATCTCTTTTTTAATCATATAATACAGGTATTCCCAAACGTTTTTGTCAGTTGAAACTTTTGACCTAAAATATTTACATACATTATAACAACAAGTTCTCTGATGTTGGTTTATGATCACATGACGCCCAGGGAAACTTATACAATTGCCTGTTTCTTAGCAAGTGTTTTATTTTAATTGCATTAATGTTATTTTTATTAGTTTGTTTTAATTATTAGCTTTTTAACTTTATACTTTTAAAAACTCGAAATTTGAACTGACTCACATATCCATTTACATTATGCACTTATGCAATTACGCAATGTTTTAATTATTAGCTTTTCATCAAATCACAAACCCCAGTATGGGAAACCGTTATATAACAACAAAATATAAACTCAGTGTTTGCATTCATTTATTTATTTTTTTAGAAAGCAGCCTGTAATATACTATAAAATATCATGTTCTTCAGATTCAAAGCTGTAAACAAGATTTGGAAGAAAATATTTACTTGTTCTCCGCTCCATCTGGCAGGACGTCAAGCCTGGCTTTGCTTTGACCCCACAGTGGTGGTCATCCTTCTCCAAGTTGTTAGTACTGTGCCTCTCCAGGGACGTGTTTGCTCCTGTCTTGTTGAGGGTGGAGGATGTTGTAGTGGTAGGCCCACCCCAGCTGTCCCCTCTTCTAGCAGGCTCATGTCTGCACTCCATCCCAGCCCGCCTCACTTCGTTCTTGCTTAAGATACTCTCTTCTTTCGCTGAGCCCCCTTTTAGCTGGCACACTTGCCTGGGTATGACAAAAGCTTTTTCTCAGCTGGGGCGTAAGTTTGACTTGTAAGAGGTGGTTTCGGGATCCGCTGACTGTTTTATGCTTCCCGACTTTTGAAGAAACAAAGATCAAAAGCAGGATCAAAGTTAAACTAAAGCTCTACATTTTGCTGGACATTTTCTTCACGGTAATCCTTCGGAGTAGAGAAATGTACTTTTGCTTTCAATCCACACAATATTATTCAAACTCTAACAAGACCTCCCTGGAGGTACTTCTCAATGCACCCTGGATCAGTTCCCATGGAAAAGTGCCAAGAAAATTTCACAACTGGGATATGCTCTTGTGCAAATGCGGCAAAGGCTGGCAAACTGTCCTCTGTTCTATTTGCGTCTGTTTTCGATGTCTTATCCAGATATTTGTCTTTCTTTTTGAGTCAAAGTCACCAAAACATGTCCCTCGAGTTTATCGCAATCTCCCCGAGGCAGACTGTTTCTTTAAAGGCACGTGTAGCCCTTGCTCTCAAAATGTTTCAACAATGTTAAGATGAAGGGGAGTGCTTGGTGCTTTCCTGTCGTTTCATTAGCACATGAAAAAACACATTCAGCCGAAAGGTTGTCCAAATGTTCTGACTGCGGCTATTGTAATCGCTAAACTTTCAAGCAAGGCTTAATTGTGCTCAGTCCATATTGTTTGGATTTTAAACGAATGGTTTCTATAGTTTTCATTCCTTATCCCTGTATTACTGACCGAGACTATATGGGTGGCTTAAGCCCAGTGATATGATCTCTAACCCACCATCACAGTGGCATAGTTTATTTGCTTGTTTCAGATTAGGTTCAAAAAGACTCCTCGGGCAAGTATATGGTATATCCAGACAGGGCTTAATGTCTCTAGTTGTGTAGTTGAAATGAAAGGCCACTGGATGAACCTCCACTGCTGCCAGGGTACAATGAGTCAGTGATCTTCCTCTCCACTGCTGCTTCCTGAAACATATAAGGTGCAGACTGTCAGTCAAAATATATACTAAAATGCACTTATAAAAAATAAATAATATTCTACAAAACATTTTCAATCTGAACTAATTGAAATGAGTAACCTCATGAAGGAAATATTCCTCTGTTTTGAAGGAGGGGTATTTCCTCTGGCACTGTGCACTTGATATCATTTGTGAAAATGACAAACCACCCATTGTCAAATCAGTGGGAGGAATGAATTGCATTCGCTACATGTGAAGTTGAAACAATGCATATCTCATTTTCCTCCTGACTAATATCAAGGAGACAGGATAATGAAAGGAACATGTGTTGCCCAATTATATCTTATATATATATATATATATATATATATCTTTTATTGTAACAGTCTAATCAGCTGAGTGTCGTCTCTCTCACATCCTGTAGGCTACAACAAGGCCACGGGTCACATGAGGTAATAAGACCCCATTAGTCTTCATCGCCCCCTTTAAAACACTGTTTTAACTAATAACACCTATGACAAATGAGTGGTCTGTTTCACTCTTCCAGTGATTCATTCGACCCCTGTGCGTTTATGTTTGGGAGTTAACGTCCCGCCCACTCCAACAGTTGACTCAAAGTGGCCACAAAAATGACACCCACTGTTCATGCCCTCCATGCCATCCTCCACAAATAAAGACAATCAACTCAACAAAACAAACATTCTTGCCCACAAAAGCCTCTCACAAGCTCTCTGCCTTTCTCTGCACTGGACGAAACATAAAGAGCAGTTGCTTTGTTTTGTAATGATTTTGAGTAATGTAACCTCCGACAACACTCTGACAAATACATTTTCGTTTTTGCCACACTGGCAGATAAATATGAAATATTTCAATATGAAATATTTCAATATTTCATACAAGGCAATAAAGTTATTTTTTTAAACTCAAGATAAATTGTTCCAGATATATCTCGGACTTTTGTAAGTTGCTTAATGTAAAGAATTTTCCATTTAATTTCTTACATTAAGCATGTCACATCTCACTTAACTGTACATCAGGGAAGCTCAGACTATCATTCTTCATCTCCATCAATTCAGTTTTTTTAACATGCATTCTAGAATGTTGTGGTTCCTTATCAAATTACCAGCTGATGAGCAATCAACATTCTTTGGCACACCAAAACATCTTGAAGGCTGAAAGCTGGTTGAAAGAAGGTTGAAAGCTGATGCATCACAGAGCATTTTGAACTACAGGGCATATCTTTTGGATTTGCTAAGGGGGAAAAACAGTATAATGATAAATCTTTGTTTCTTAAAGTATCAAAGTATGCTTATCTTATCTGATTTCACTTTCCTGGTATGTATATTACAACATTAACTTACCAACCTACCTGCATGGCTCTCTCACATAACTCTAACGATTTGCCATCATTTGATTTATAAGTCATTCCAATCCAGTGAGGGCATTCTTGTGCTCATAAACCAATCTAATGAGCTGTATCGAACTCTACCCATCACATTCCATACGTTATCAGTCCCGAGGCACCGGATGCAGGTACTGGGAGATAGTATTTGTGTGTGTTTTAGGCTGTATCTGTTACAGTGCATAATATGAGCAGTAATAGTGTACGTTTTGATAGACCTCCGGGGCCCTACAGGTCTCTCTAATCTTCCAGATCCATTACAGCCCTCCAGGGCCAGATCCTTCAACCATACGCCACGGCACAATGCAGAGACCTGCTCTTCAACTCGGCTTCTTTCACACAAAGGCCTATTGAAGCACCTGTAAGTGGCCTGAAAAATAATTTGGGGCTTGCACTCTACATTTGGCATTCTTTGAGAGTAATTCTCAGCAGATAGCTAGCATGCCTTGGCTTACACAGGTTGAACACACCATTAGGTATAAACTTCAATGAGGCTCAGAGACATGGTGTTTGCTTCATAAGTGTACTAAGTATATATATACATTTTAGAGAAAAATGACATGTCATTGAAATCATAGATGTGCAAGGTCTCACTGGGTTGTGCATTCAATAGCTAGCTGAATAATGATACTACTGTCTTTTTTATGCGGGCCCTACAGGTCTCTCTAATCTTCCAGATCCATTACAGCCCTCCAGGGCCAGATCCTTCAACCATACGCCACGGCACAATGCAGAGACCTGCTCTTCAACTCGGCTTCTTTCACACAAAGGCCTATTGAAGCACCTGTAAGTGGCCTGAAAAATAATTTGGGGCTTGCACTCTACATTTGGCATTCTTTGAGAGTAATTCTCAGCAGATAGCTAGCATGCCTTGGCTTACACAGGTTGAACACACCATTAGGTATAAACTTCAATGAGGCTCAGAGACATGGTGTTTGCTTCATAAGTGTACTAAGTATATAGCGGGCACATATATACATTTTAGAGAAAAATGACATGTCATTGAAATCATAGATGTGCAAGGTCTCACTGGGTTGTGCATTCAATAGCTAGCTGAATAATGATACTACTGTCTTTTTTATGACTGCTTTACAGCAGAATTTGTTCTAATCTTTTCGGATATCTGTATTGTATAAAATGCTATATAAAGGTGACTTGACAAAGTCTGCAGAGAATCAATGAGAAGACAAAAAGAGCAAAACCAGGTGCTTTGGGATAAAGTGAAAATACTGTAACTGTTTTAATTTCATTTTAAATGGCTCATTAAAGAGCCATAAACACATATAAAAAAGAAAAGCTAGCCTTTTTGGACTCTGACAGAGAAATTACTACAACACTAAACTTATCTAGCAGATCCAAATAGCAGATAAAACTTCAGTACCATTAAAAAGCTGCGACTTAAAGAGTCCTGCAAATTATGCCACCAAAGGTCAGTGACAGCTGCTCAGCATGACGTCTCTGCTAAACAGAACCCCTGCCTAATGTATAAGTCATGACTGTCGCGAAGAAACTCCAGCACCGGATATTCATTCTACTGTTACTGCACGCTGCTCAAATTTATCATCATAAGAACCACACACAGGCCGGACAAAGGAGAGCCAAACAGGGAACACATGAAGCCCATCGCCAGTTAGATTATCCCTCCACCGGGAGGAGAACGAAGTTAACATCCTCAATTATCCAACCCAAATATTTAGAATGATCGACTTCAAAAACATTCCTCCAGGTTGCAGCTGGCTACCTCACGCAGTAGGTTCTTCAAGGATGCTGTTTGCGATTCAACAGGTGATAAAGCTGTTCATTGATAACACAACACCAAGTGAAACTCAGTGAAAGTCTGGAGCTGATGGTAGACTCACCTGTACTCCCAAGTGCTTCGGTGTGTATGTTATGGGTAGTTTGTACAGCCCCTTTACAGGTCCTCCTTACGTTCACCTCCCCCTCTGTCTCACATGGAGTTACGCTCTCGTTCTCGCTCTCTCTTTCTCTCTAGCAGACTGAAAGAAGGGAAAAGGGGGTGTGGACGAACAGGAGTTGGAACACAGAGAGTTCTTTGTCTGCCTTCTTCATATGGTTTCCTTCAAGCATGCATACTGAACACATTATACCATTATATATTTTCATATTTAAAGTAGGGGTGTTTGGGGATCATGTGCACTTTGCTCTTTGTCCCGCTCAAGTTTTTACACCGGACAGGGGAATAAAACATACACAGCCTATGCATGCTATAAAACTGTCAATATGTGCTTGTTTCTGATTGCTATGAGTTATAAAAAGTAACCAGTGTCGAGTGTTTTCTCTTGAGATGAATAAAGTGTAACACAAAAGGGCCTCTCAGATTGGTTTCACAGACATGGAGAGCCCCCGCAATGATTCTTGAGCTGCGTGTTGAAGCAAAGTAAGACACTTAAAGTCTCAATGGGATGGGATCTGAAGTCCACTGATCTCCCGACAGAGATGTCTGTCTGAGAACAGACAAATACTATGGTTAGATTACGGACTTCAGAGCATCCTTAAAGGTAAGTTTAGGGAAAATGATCTTTATGATAGCTCAATGTTGTATGCAACTGTGTAAAATAAGCTCTGATCTATTTCATCTATAAGTGCTTTCTCACAGTTGAAATAACACTCACAGCAAATCGTTCTTGTCTGAAACTTTGAGCTCCTTTGTAAACCCATCAAATATTTGCTTCTGTTTTGAAATGTCATACCTGGGTGATATTTGAGGCCGTCAGCCACATTCAGACCACCGTGTCGATCGTACCCAGAATAAAGGCTTTGTCAGCAAAAACTGGGTCATACCTATGATGAGAAGTATCAAAAAACAATGCAATTAAATAATAATAATTAATAAATGAATAATATTAATACAAATTATTTAAACTATTAAAATGATTAAAATCAGTGCAATTAATCATGCAGCCTGACCCATTCGCAAATTCCTAAAGAAAAAAGGTTCTAGGAATCTCAAGGCATGTCTTTCAAAGTTTAAAATATAAAGCAAACAGACATGGATGATTAAAAACAATAAATAAATAATTAAATAAACAATCAAACAAATAAATAAATAGCATTGCTTTTCTCAGCAATATTAAAATTACACAAACCAAAAATTAAAAACAGACATAGATATATATATAAAATGCAAAATAAATAATGTAAAATTAATTTTTTTTTAAAATTACAAAATATGAATGACTGTAATTAATTTGTTATACATTTAGCTCTAAGGCTAACATGTGCAATTAACAAATCTTTAATATAACTAGATGACCCTTGAAGTGAACCGCTGTGCTGTTTATAGGGGGAAAACTAATAATTTAGTCAGTGTGCTACCTTATTTAATTAGTGGAATGCTAATGCTAATTTAATAACTTAAATTTTTCTGAGTTTAACTTCCTGCAAATCCTAGGATGATCGTTTGCAAACTATGCAATATTTCTAACATCATAGTACATTAAAATAGTTTGCCAGTGATTTTCAAATTATGCAAAGACAGAGGTGCACACCAGCATGAATACCAACTCCCCAGTGTAAAACAGGCCATTTCTCTTCTTTTCTCTTTCTTTGACTCTTTCATTCTATCCCTCCCGCCACTACAAACATATTTGTTTTTTCCCAACGCCCTCTTTACAGCTGGTCAGCCTGTCATTACATTTGTCCTTTCAGCAGTCTAGCGTGACTTTCTCAAAGGGCAGCTGTGTCTGTGTACGTCTAGATGTGTGGTGTGCATGTCTCACTGTAGAATCTGTATCCTTGTGTGGCTGAACGGACCAGTGGAGGAAATGTTAGAACACATTCCACCATATCTGGGCTTTTCTTCTGAAGGTGTAGAATTTCCTAAGTGTTCTGGTTTACATTCTCCTCTTTTGAGTCTGTTGCCTGTTACTGAGAGAAGGCCATAGCAGAGTAGCCATTTGATTGGAGTCATACATAGCCTGGAAGTGAACCTTTCTGTCCTCCTCTTCTTGGAGACCACCAAAACCCTGTTGAGAGATGAAACTGAATCCAACAGAGTTAAAAAATGTTTGATTATGCGCTCCACTGGCAACTGCAAAAGCGTCACGGGTGTTCAGGACTTCAAGGAGGTCAATGACAACAATGTTATGGTGACCGTGATTTCACCAAGTACAACATGTTCCTGGATCAACATCCTTGTTGATCCTGGAACAACATTCCAATTAACCAATCAGAATTAAGGGATAACTTTTCAGGAAATATCTGTTTTAGGCTTACGATCAGGGTTAGGTGCTTCTACACCCTTGTTAATCAGCTATCATTTCCCACTGATTTTAGGAATAAATTATGGGTAGGGTTAGGTTTAGGGGTAGGGATTGGGTTTAGTTTATATTTTTGGACAGTAATGTTGATCCAGGATCAACAAAAGATGTTGATCCAGGAACATCTCTTACTTGGCAAACTCACAGCGAGCCAATGTTATCCAGATATCCTAGACTCATGTAGCCAGACTATGTGACTTAACAGCAAAAGTTCTAGTCTACATCCCAAGTTATGGCCAAAAATGGCCAATTTAAACAGGAAGAAACCATCTAACCGACATTTAAAGTGACAACCTTCATATTTCTGTGTTATTGTTTTTTTGGCATTTAGGATTCTGATACAGATTACGCCACACACACAAAAAACGGAGATGGTTTCACAGTCAAAGTGAAATATACTTTTTTGTTTGTAGATATCTAGTCAACTCAAGTGCCTGAACAAAATTCAAAATAAATATTCCATACACTGTATATTTCAAAGATTTGATTATACTAACTTGGCAAACATTGAGAAAGATGGTGATTTCTCATCCTCAAAGCCAAAAAAACACACATTGCAAAAATTTAGATTACATGTTACCTGATCAAGAAATGCTTTCTAGTGTGCCGTAATAAGTAATAATCAGACGATCATCAAACAAACTCTTGCCAGTCCAAGGGTATCTGAAGTTGAAACCATCAGACCCTGAAACTAAATTAAATTAAAATGTAAAAAACCAGTATCCATCCATCCATGAGAATGGACTTGGACTTTATTATTAAAATATTTTTTTAAATCATATGCACTTCTTTCCTCTCATTTGAATTTGTTAGAATGAAAGTTTTTGTGTCCAGAAATGTCAAATGAAAAGTTATTTTAATTGGAGATAAATTCCAGAAACCAGGGCCTTTTACAGCCCATCTTCTTTCACAATTATACTTCATCGGAATGACTGAATGAATGTTGATTTATGCCAGAGAGCGACCAGCGCCGCAGACCCTGCAGGGCCCGCTGAGCTGCGGTCTATAGAGCAAAGCGCGTACCATACAGCGTGCCCAAACACAGTGAAGGGTGTGGGTGTGCGATTGAGCAATGACGTGAGACATCACAAAGTCAAAATCTTTGAGATCAAGCGACTGGGTGTCTTTATGTGGCCAGAATTCCTCTACTCCCATCCAAAACCTCAACCAGACTCCATGCCTTTGCACCCCACTCCCCATCCCAGCTTAAAAAGCACTGCAAGGTTTTTGTTGTATGGAGCATTTCTTGGCCTCTGGAGGGGTTTTAAAGAGTTCCTAAAACAAACGCTTTCACTGCTTAATGTGTATTTATGTCATTTGTCAAGAGGGATGTACAAATCAAGCCCAATCCCTCTTTAGTCTACAAGGCTCCTGCATTGATGAGTATCCATCCAGAACGCAAACAAACCCAGAGGTGAGAGCGGTTGGCGATGGATCTGCCAGCAAAGTGAGAGAAACTCCTAAAAGATATGAATCAGCATTACAAGTCTGGATTAATCCGAAGACACACTTGGAAACAATCACTGCTATTTGGTTTCTTACCTAGTGCTGTTTTGATAGCTTGCTTAATATGACACATACTGGCTCCGTTGTGTAATCCATCAACACACAAGATAAGATTTTACACAGGCCAATGCAAACAAATAGCAGATATGGCAATGAAATCATCTGTGCAATAAACAGAGACTGAGAGTCGGGCTCTCTATGGGTGCAGCAATGTTATTCCAGACATCTCGCCAGTGTTTGTCAGTCTCCAGGCGAATGCACCTGAAAAAAAGCTGGTGTTAATGCTCTAGAGAGATTTTTCCACCACACTATAGAGTCAGTACCTGGAAACTCTGAAACATCTCATATCGAACACTTCCTCCCACCAATCGATAAATCTCCATGACACAAAGATCTATCTTTGAAGTCACTCCAGGCTTTTAAACTTAAGTTACACTCCCAACCACTGACAGATTCCTTGTCCATGCACAGCTTTCAAATTCAAAATTCAGAATGGATTCTTATTCTCCTAATTAAGCCAAGCGCACATTTAGAGGGGTCATGACAGGGGTGTCCAAACTTGGTCCTGGAGGGCCGTTGTCCTGCAGAGTTTAGCTCCAACTTGCCTCAACGCACCTGCCTGGGAGTTTCTAGTATGCCAAGTAAGACCTTAATTAGCTGGCCCATGTGTGTTTAATTGAGGTTGGACTCCCCTGATATTAGAGGTAATTGTACCATTAAAACATCATGGAAATTTTATATCTTAAATCATCCTCCTCAGTACAAAAAAGCAAAAGCAAAAGAGCAACATCCGTGTTGCATCATAAGCAAATGGAGCCCATCATAATCACTGATGCTGTCTACAGTATAAAGCATACAGATGCATGTTCAATGTCCGATTAAACAGCTTGTTGTACAGACTGCAAGTGAATAGTGTATTTTAATGGCATCCCGGCATGTTAAGAGCATTTGACTGCAGACAATTTTGTAAGCAAGGCGCAGTATAATGGAGAATTTGCAAAGGAACATCTGCTGAAGTATGAAGCTGAACTGTATTGGATCTGACAGCAGGTACGTCGCAAAGTGTGAGTAAACATTTTCATCATGTTTGTCTGTAAATTTAAAGGTTTTATACGGATAATGTTTTCATAATTTTTACTCACATGAAATAGGGGGGTGTTGATACTTTTTACCCTGCAATGACGTTTGCCAAGTCAGAATGTCAGAGTCAGAATGATGGCTGAAAATAATCATTTTGGCAAATATATTTTTTGTGCAAAAAAAAAATGTGCACACTTCCTTTACAATTCCACTTATAAAGGGATAGTTTACCCAAAAATGAAAATTCTGTCATTACAAATCCATAAGACATCAGTTCACGATTGCTTTATATGACATTTTTAGCAAGCAAAATTAATTCTCTAGAAAACACACATTCACAGATTAACAAGAAAGTAGATTCCTGAAAATGTGATGACAAAAAAACAAGGAGGACAGACTTGTTTTTACAATGAATTTCGCACAGAATGAGAAAAACAACCTAAAAGAGACTTAAAATATGAATAAGAGGGTGGTTGGGGAAAAGTTTCAACCCATCCTGTGCTCTTTCGCTATTTCATTGCCTTTGCTAACTGCTGGTTTCTGGCTGGTCAAGACAGTGTGCACTCCTGACGACTGGTCAGCCAGATTTCAAACCAGCATATTTTCCTTAAAAAGCCAAGAAAATATTAAGGCGGGACATGATGATCAAAACTATTACAATAATACAGCCTTGCATTAAGGCAATTACACATCTGATTTATGGAATGGTAGATTATTGTGCATTCAAGTCATACTGCAATGAGGGCATTAAGGAGCAGTTGCCAGCACTGTTATACGTCTTGATGCTAATACAAGAAAGAATGACAGGAAATGGGTGGGAGCTTTTCCTCAGAATGGCACAGACACCTCTGAATTCCTGGTGTAACACTCACATTAACGTGACATAGATCACCATTAAGTAACCAATGGCTGCATACTGCTCATAGAGCCTGTCATGAAATACTTTAGGGTATTGGAATGCATTTTTTATTTATACTGGTGTTGTATACACCCGTTTTAATTATTGTACATGTTTAGGTGATGATGTTTAGCAACAAGGTAAGCAAAAATCTCTGGATGAACTAGAATAAACAGAAAAATTATGGGTTGTTTTTAAACATGCCCTGGGAAAGAACTGAAGCACAGATGAGAACCAGAGTGGGACAGCATTTCCCTCTCAGTCTGTTTTGATCCCCATTCCCTAGATTGTAATCAAAATCATTCCAAGACACAAATAAACAAAATATCTCAGGAACAAGCTGGCTTCCCTCCCTCAGTGAATTTGAGCTCAGAGACCTGGGGTGAATTCACTAAACAGTTGCATACCATATTTCACCCTGTATCTTATTCACCAAGCGCCTGCAATACAGGGTCAGCATATTTTATGGGTGTTTTATGCGGTTATATGATTTGCATAATTCCTCTAGTCAATCAGAAGTACAAACAAGTAGACAGTGCCTGCAAATAAACAATGCTATAAAGAGTAATTCATTCTTAGCAAAATCCCCCTTAGTCTGTGATACAAAGCAATGAAAATTCGTAAAGAATTTAACAGCACTGGTTCTAATTTTTCTTTATAATTCCAGTGAACTGATTCACTGAAAAAGAAACAACTCATTAGAAGCATTCATTTGGGAATCAAGCAACATTTTTGCACAGTAATTTTTTTATTCACTATAAAGAACAGACTCATAATATTTATATGTTTGGGTGTCAGACTACTTATCCTCCTCCCAGTCTTTGCATTCCACTCCCTCTCCATGCTGCAAATGGCATTAGGCTGATAAGGCTGAAATATCAGAACTCAGCTTGTCTGTCTCTTTCACTCTCAATTTTCTCTCTCTCTCTCTCTCTCTCTCTCCTCACACCCTTTCCCTAACTGTTGATGTGTAATTCAGCATTCCAGGGACTCAGTGGCCCCCAGTGTGATTGTGCTGCACTGTGTGTTTCATTATATAAGCCAGTGCTGCTGAAATGAGCAGAGGCTCATGTCCTTTGTATGGAGGCCTCTATCTTTTTCACTTGGTCACTAGAGACCGGCAGCAATTAGGGACAGAGCAGATATGCCAGGCTATGTCAACATTTACTAAGAAATCCATTGCCTTTCTCCATCGTACGTCAATAAACGAATCTATACCTCTCTGCTAATGCTCCGTTCGGTCTCCCAGGTTTTTAATTAAGCTGTTTTGATGGTTTTCAAATGTCCAGACAATTCTCACAGCTTTTCAGACTGCCCAAATATGGTGCTTGTGTCTGATAGCCTCTTAGGAAAAATATGAATCCCATGATTCATAGCGCTATTTGTACAGCTACCTCTCTCCCCTCCTTTTGCAACAGGCCTGGGAGCAATTACACTCTATGACTCCAGCCATATGTGCTCGGGCTTCTCAAATTCGTATTCTCTGATTTAACAACCCCCCTTCATATCTTTTCCATTCAATGACTTGAAGTATTTTCATTCTTTGGACAATGAACAATACTTGAATGCCTTTTTTCTCCTTACAATCTTTCTTTTCCATCACCAGCTTGTCTGGCTTTCAGCAATCATCTCATGTCATTGCTTTTGTTGTACAATCAAATGGGAAATTAATATTGAATAATTATATAATGATCTAACCTAATGTGTGAATTGAGCTACCGATGAAAGCTTCCTCCCTGGCTCAGCCGGATCGTTTTTTAATAGACTCAAAGAGTGTATTTTTACTCTATGCCCTATGGTAAAACTTGACCATAAGACTGATCGGAGAACAGTTTTGTGGTTTCTCTCATAAAAGATGATCCCGGGATTCTGGGAAAGTCCTGATGTTTTCACTGCATACTATATGCGTTATTTAACCACATGGTTCTCCATTAGCCCCTGCTGTGGACAACAGGACATTTTGAGCAAAGAAAAGTGCCTCAGGCCACGGACACAAAACCAAGCCTTTCAACAGACAGAAAGCACTCATTCAAGTTCACCGCCTCCACAGAAGAGTTCCAGGGCATTAGCCGAAAGAGCTGTCCTGCAGCTGTTAGGCAGATGCCTTGATTGTGGGCCTTGGGATGACCCCACTTTTCGGGATGGTCCAAGGGAGCAGATAAACAGACCTTCGTTGCCTCTTACACACGGTCAAACAAGATGAGATGAAAGGAAAATGTCAAGTTGCTGATGTCATGCCTTGGAGTTGTAGATCAACGTCAGGCTGTATATTTTTGCACACATAGCTTTTCCTTGACCTTATTTCATGCTACTTTTGAGCTTGAAATGAGGATGTGCTCATCGGATTACATCTCCGTCTTCTTTGAAAAGTCTGAAAAGTCTCTGTCTTTCATCTGAAAGTCTTTGTGCTGAAACATAAGCAGCTGTCTGCGCTGACAGCATGTCAGAAGCGGGTTCAAGCTCAAACTTGTGGTTGACAGTCATTTTAGGACTACTGTGACACCTGGGTTTACCCTCACGTCATTCTAATCCAATCTGACTTTTTTCACTGTGAACAAAAGGGGGATTTTGAACTGTACTGCATGGAAAAGAATGACTAATAAATGCACACTTGCTTTCAAACTTCAAAAATGATGCAAAATATCATATAAATGCTACATACAACCTGTACACTATATAGAGTCTTCTTATGCCATGAGAAAAAATTTGTGAAAGAAAATTTTGTCATTATTCACTGGAAATCGTGACAACAGCCTTAGCTCTCCTTTGGCACATTCTCCTTGTTCAGAGGAAAACTGATTCTTGAATTAATCATTCTGTTGAGTTGGATCTTTCCAATGAATCATTTGATTCAGTTTACAGAAATTAAATGAATATATAAAGAAAGTGTAATTTAAAATGACAGTACTGCTTTAACACAGTGGCGAGGATAGGTGCTACATTGTGCGCTTCTATTATATGGCAATAGCTGTCAATCTACTATGGTTTGCTAATGTTTGGTGAAGCTACAAACGAAAATACTGGTATTGATTGGTCTACTGAAACAATTACACTTGTATACTACTAGCTGAGACCTTTTTCAGCGACATATGACAAGTCTATGTATTATGTAATGATAATGCCATTTTTAGCTGTCGGAATTACCTTGTTTGTTTTATCTCAAGAATTGTACAATTATGTACTTTCATTTTAGAGTAGGCACTGAGGTCCAACATATTTCAACAAAGTCTACT